TGCAAGATTCTTCATACTTTTAATGTCATCAATCTATTGCTGGACTGCTATATTTACATGTGTGGATTTATATCTTTCCTAATATAGTTTTTGCTACTCTTGAATTCATTACCCTGCTACATGCTTCCATAGTAGTGCACAGTTGAATGTGCTCTTCAATGTGTATGCTAAAATGAGTTTGGCTCCTCTTTTTGTTCACAATAAAGTGACCAGGGTTTACAAGTTGATCATATTAGGTGTCATATACACGTTTGGTTTCCAATAAGTGTGTGCATCCTCGCCACCTTGGATCACTAAATGAATATTGCATTTTATACATGTCAAAAGAGATATCTTTTTGTTGATTAGAACTTGGAGATTTTACATTTATTTTGTCAGTTGTATTATTTAATTATTAAAGTGTTCTAGTCCCTTCTGGGCTAAAGTTTACTACTAACAAATGGACCAAATTTACAACTTTTCACAATTCTGTTAACTTTTTTTTTTTTACTGATTATATCCGAATGTTCTAGTAAAAGCAAAGGTTTATAGTTATTGTGAAATTGAGTGCTTAATTTTTGTGCTAATATTATTTTCACTGTTAGTGACATTATTTTTGTTTTCTTTATTTAGGCTGATGTTGATGGGAATGGAGTTCTTGACTATGGAGAGTTTGTAGCAGTAACAATTCACCTGCAGAAGATGGAAAACGATGAGCATTTTCGCAGAGCATTCATGTTTTTTGACAAAGATGGGAGCGGGTATATTGAGTTAGATGAGCTGCGGGAGGCGTTAGCTGATGAGTCAGGGGAAACAGATACTGATGTATTGAATGACATTATGCGTGAAGTTGATACTGACAAGGTTTGATTTCTGTCCATTCATGCGCAATGTAATTATACTACAAATTTATTTTTTGTGATTCTTAACCTTTTGGTGTGTTATTTTTCACCAGGATGGGTGTATCAGTTATGATGAGTTTGTTGCGATGATGAAAACTGGAACTGATTGGAGAAAGGCATCTCGCCAGTATTCAAGGGAGAGATTCAAGAGTTTGAGCCTTAACCTGATGAAAGACGGTTCACTTCAGCTTCACGATGCAATGACCGGTCAAGCTATTGCTGTCTGACTTAGGGTGTTGTTGATTTAGTTTTGTTTGTGCCCTGGGGTATTTCTTTCCAGTTATATTTATACATACTATTCTTGGAGAGTATGGGCTGTGCGTGGCCCCTGGATTTTCACAAAATGTGAATTTTAAGTTGAAGAACCTTCCTGGAGGGGAGACCAAAGATTCTTTGGTACTAATTGGAGTTTGGTTTGGTTTAAGCATGCCGGAGAAGACTGCACATTGGTTAAGGTTGCTGCCACTGCCGGAGATCTTGAAGGAATAAGTATTCCGAAATTCATGTGCCCGTATTTGATTGTATATATATGTAATGTCAAATGTCAATGGTGTTTGGTTTAACTTGGTTTTCTACCTCTGTATTTTGTTGATAAACCAGTTAAGAGTTGTTTATTGGCCTTGGCCATGTGAATTTCAAGGAATTTTCAATTTTCCTTTTAGTCTTGCAGAATTTTGTCTATTGACTCTGTTATGCAATTACCACTTAATGTTCGTCCGTTTTTCTACCTTTAATCATTCTAAAAGAAGCACCACCTTTTATCTTGGATTAGTCAGAAAGTTTGTTCAACGGTCAGCAAATAAAAGCTTTCTCCTCTTTTCTTCAACTTTCTTATTGAGAAAACATTTCCTGTTGATTTTTTCCACAATAAATCAATCTCATTTTTATCTTTCTCTCCAGACCAGCAAACCTCTCAAGTCTCAGCACTATCAGATTTTCAAAGTTTCTCTTATTTTCCTTCATTTTCTAAGCAACCAAACAAGCCATACTAATATACTACACCAAAATAAACAAGCATCTGAACCTCCTGAGAAGGGGAGAAGACCTCTTGAGAAGTTTGAATCACATTTACATTTCACCATGCATCCTTGGCTTGGCTGCCCTGCTACCAACCAAATTCAACGACTAATGGTTCCAAATAGGTGAAGACACTTTTATGAATTTCCATCAGTTATAATGGGAATGAAGAATCGAAGAGTGTTGTGCGGGAAATCTGGAGAGGATAATTCCCTGTTAAGAGAGAAAATATTTAGATTTGTTCAATTTGGAATGAAGATATTCAAATTGACTTAGATTCCAACTAAGGTAGCCGAAGATCATGCAACTTCCTAATCCTACGTAGTTGAATCTTACCTCAACTCTATCATATCAATGAGTGCTATATAAACCCATCAGAACTTGTTTTCAGGGGCTAGGCAATTGTTCTAGGAAAATATTTAGATTTGTTCAATTAGTAAAGAAGATATTTGATATTTAGATTTGCTCAATTTGGAAGGAAAATATTCAAATTAACTTAGATTCCAACTAAAGTAGCCGAAAATCATGCAACTTCCTAATCCTACGTATTTGAATCTTACCTCAACTCTATTATGTAAATAGGTGCTATATAAACCCATCAGAACTTGTTTCCAGGGGTTGGGCAATTGTTCTAGGAAAAGATTCTTCATTTATAATTCTCATTCAATAAGAGAAACAGTGGACGTAGGCTCAAGATTCAAACTTGCTAAACCACTTTAAAAATTGTCATTACTTGCATTTTTGCTCTTGAATCATTCTTTTACTACTTTCCATTCATAATATTTTCGATTCCACCAAAGTCAATTGGATCTCTATGGTTGGTGCAAGTTTCTGTATCAACAAACAGATTTAGTTAGAATTGAAGTAATATCAAAGTTCTTAACTCCTAATATTCTAAACAAGAAAAAAAGATGAATCATTAATCAATGGTACACAATTTACTTTTATGATTAAGGGGGTTATTTTTTATTTTTTTATTTTTCTCTTGAACACTTAATATGATTAAATAAAGTATATATATATAAGCATAAATTGAATCATAAAAATTGAAAGATAAAAATCATTAAAATAACTTCGAATAAATTCAAAAATTCATTGAATAAAATTGAAACATTTACTACTTGCTAATCCAAATGTTTTCAAGAAGTAGCTAATGAGAGAGTGTTTTTACATAAGAGAATTTTCGGTACGAAAAATCATGCCTTGAATAAAATAAATTACAATATTTATAAAACTTTAAGATACTGTAATATTACATGAATACTATTTGGTCACAAGTGTACTTTCTGTAGCTTCACATGAGCATTGTTTGATCACAAGTGGACTTCTTGTAAACATCACATGAGCACTATTTAGTCTCAAGTGGACTTCCTATAGCTTCACATGAGCACTATTTGGTCACAAGTGATCTTCCTGTAACTTCACATGAGTATTGTTTGGTGTCAGTTTCCATAAGAATTTTGATAATTTTTTTTGGCAATTCTTTTTTTTTTTTTGAGAGAGATGACGATTTTGAACTGTTAGGAGTAGATCATATGATTTTGTAACAATCATCTTCATTGCTTTGGGCGAGATTGACAGAGGCACTGGAGCCTTGGTTGGGCTCTTCTTCATCTTCTTCTTGGGGTTCTTCTTGGAGTTGAGAAAAGATTGTCTTGAGATGGTCTTTGAGTTCTTGCTTTGTTTTAGCACCTACTAAGGATATTTGTCTGTAAAAATTTGGCAATTTCAAGGGTAATTGCTTAAATTGGCTAAGGTACATTTGATAAGTGAAGTTGAATTTTTTCTTTGGACACATGGATGCATCATATTTGTCCCACCATTTGATCTTGGATTTTTGGATCAAATTAGGGAGATTGCTAACATTTTGGACATTTTCATATTCCTAAGCTACAATCCATGATAGATGGAATTTTGCTGAGAAATGAAGTGTTGGAGGAAAATTTGAATAGGTTTTGGAAACTTTGAATTTTGATTTGAACTCATTGAATCCTTCTTGAACATTTAAGGGTAAATTTGTGAAGTTAAGCCAAAACGGTCCCACCATTTGGTAATCCAATTGGGAAATTTGACCAAGGTCTTTATTTTGAAGTAAATCATCTAGGATTGTCCATGATGAATATTTTGAAAAAAGAGTGATCTATACTAGGCCTTTTCATAATCGAGTAATTATATCCAAGTAGATCAAAATTTTGGGAAATTTTTTTTAAATTGGTTTGGATTAGATCCCCAATCAGAAACTAAGGAGCTTCATGATGCGAAGTATTGAATGAGTTATGAATCTTGCATTGTTTTTATCATCATAGTGTTTGAACTCACAAGAGTCTAATTAACAAGAGTTTCATAAAATTTGTGAGCTTTTCTTAAATCCTCATGGATGAAATGAAAACCTTTTGGAAATACTTGTTCAATCAACTGTTTTGGGTTTTCAAAATCTTCAAAAACCAAAAGATTTGAAATGATTCCTTTTAAAATATATTTTTGTCTTAGTTTAAGGGTTTTTAAAGATGTAACCAAAAGAAGTTCTTTATATTTTGAAAGAGCGATTTCAGCTATTTTTTGTAATTCACTTATTGAAATTATCAAGTTAGGAAAATTCTTCTTGGGAATTTTTTGGAAAAGTTTGAGAATCATTTTGATTTTTAAATTTTTTTTTTTTTTTTTTTTTTTGGAAGATTTGGTGTTTTTAGCCCAATCATAACTAAAGCTACTTCTCAACTTTTCCGAAATGAGTTTATCCAAGTTTGGATCCGATCTTCATCGGTTGGGCTCTAAGAATTGCTTGCCAACATGCAAAAATTTATTTTGATGAAATATTTTGAACATATTTTTGCAAAACATGTTTAGTAGTTTGGCAATCAATACAAAGCAAAATTTTTTGATTGAGTAAGTTACTTTGAAATTAGGAAATGCATAAGACAATGGATAAAATTTCTTTTTTTATGGTGGAATATTTTTGTTGAGTTTTATTTTAGAATTTGTAAGTATACTAGATAATTTGTTCTTTGTTATCTTTTACTTGTTTGAGAATACCTCTATATCCTAAGTCTGAGGCATTTGTTTTAACTATTTTGAAGGCTAGTGGATTTGTTATATGTAATCATGGCAGGTGGGTAATTTGGGGCTTTGATCTGTCGGATTATATTTGTGTGAAGACTTGTCCATGGTTTTGGATTTTTCTTTAATCTTTCATATAAGGGTTCGCAAATTTGACTAAGTTTTGGATACATAGTTAAGACTTCCTAAGAAACTTTGTAATTGAGTTTTATGAGTGATGACATTAGGAAGTTTTTGACCAAATTCAATAAATCTTTGAATAGGTATGATTGTGGCTTATAGATTATTTGACCTAAAAATCGAATCTTTATCTAGAAAAGATTTATTTTAGTTTCTAACACAATCAAACCATTTGTTTTGACAATGTGAATAAATGTTTTTAAATATTTAAATGTTGATCTATACTAGATGAAAATACAAGAACATCGTCTATATAGACAATAAGAAATTGAAAATATGGATTGAGTATATCATTCATTATTCTTTGGAATTTTGATGGAGCATTTTTTAACCCATAGGACATTATATTTCATTCATATTGACTAAATGGTACAATAAATGCAATTTTATATCTATCTTCTAGTTTAATTTGAATTTTCCAAAATCCTAACTTCATGTCAAATTTGGAAAAGATTCTTGAATTACAAAGTTTTTTTAGTAAATCTTTTTTGTTTTCCAAAATCCATCTTAAGGCTATATTAAGCGGGTGGTGGTGGAGCAGGGAGGAGAAGGAGGTGTTGTTGTTGGTGGTTCTGGCCACAATGGAGGCTTTGATGTTGGAGGAGGTGTAGGCTTTGGTGTCGGTGGTGGTGTTGGAGGAGGAGGTGATGGTGTTGGGGGTGGAAGTGGAAGTGGAGTTGAGGGTGGATTATGTAGAGGATCTAGACATGGGGGTGGCTTAATTTGGTGCTAGTGACGGTGTAAGAGGTGGAGCTGATGGAGGCATAGGTAGCGAAGAAGTAGTTGGAGGCGAGGGTGGAGGAGGAATAGGTGGGGGTTCAAGTCATGGTGGTGGGTTTGGAGTTGGTGGAGATGTAGGAGAAGGTGCAGGTATAGGTGGTGGTGTTGGAGGAGTAGCAGCATGTGGTATTGGAAAAAGGCATGAAGCTGGTGGTGGTGGTGGAGGTGGAATTGGGATAGACATTAGAGTGATTTACCATTCTATCCTTTTTCAATTAAAGTTAACCGATGGATCTTAAGTTCTTAATTATGGGTGTAAAAGTGTCTTTTTGAAACTTTCTGGGTGGAAAATGTTGTTTGGCCAAACCCTGGGTGGAATATTGTCGGCTTATCGCTCTCCCTTATTTTTAAGTTAAATCAACTGTAAAATTTTCATTAGAATTGTCTGTTTTTTTTTAATGACCCTTTTTCATTTTACATTTAGTAAAATTTTTAAAATATGTTTGTTATTATTCTTAGATGGTTATTACAATATTTTATTTTAGTTTTTCATTATCATAATCCGGTAATTCTAATAATGTGGTTGTTTTCAATAATTCTTGTGATAATTTTTTCTACAATAATTTCACAGGCCCACAAAGCCCATTAAATCGATGGTTGATGTTATGGGCTAGGCCCAATATCCCAGTAGTTAGTTTCCTCCACGTTTGTGATTATGGGGACGCACAATATTTCGCCCTTTAAACACGTCGTGAACAATTCATAAAATCGTAATCAAATAATAATCCAGCTTTACTAGGATTTTGTGATAACCGTCAGATCCTCACCCTCGTTTCCTTTTCCGTTACCCATCCAACGGTTATAATTCCCGCCTCTTCCAATTTTCCGGCCACCACATAAACCAAAACCAACAACAAAAAACAAATTCAAGAACAGTGAGAAAGAGAGTATTTTTCTTGAGGAAATGGGCATGGATTATTACAACATATTAAAATTGAATCGCAACGCCACCGATGACGACCTCAAAAAGGCGTACAAGAGATTGGCCATGATATGGCACCCGGACAAGAACCCAACTTCTAAAAGACCAGAAGCGGAAGCGAAATTCAAGCAAATCTCCGAAGCCTATGATGTTTTAAGCGACCCGCAGAAACGACAGATCTACGATTTGTACGGAGAGGAGGCGTTGAAAGCAGGACAGGTCCCACCAACTTCGAGTTCTGCCTCCACGTCGGCTCGTGGACAGGGCCAACATTATTATCAACGCCAGCATCCCAATCCGACGTTCCGGTTTAATCCCAGAGATGCGGAGGATATTTATGAGGAGGTTTTTGGATCTGAGAGTAGTAATAATGGAGGGCAAAGAGGGTATAGAGGACATAGAGATGGATATTTTAGGAATGGGAATACTAGTACTGCTAATGGAGCCGACTTCAAGAAAGCTTTGCCTGTTGAGACTGTTTTGCCCTGTAGCTTGGAGGACATTTATAAAGGTGCTAAAAAGAAGATGCGAATTTCCCGGAATGTCTATGATGTTTCTCGGTATGTTCTCTTTTCTTCCTATTAATTGCTTCTTCTTTTTTTTTTTTGTTAATGTAAACATGTTTAATGTGTTACTTATAAGAATTTTATGTGTACTTGAAAAATGCTTAGAAGGTTGTCAATTGGAAATCTTGCAAGACCATGCTACTGAAGTTTAGGAGTTTAACAGCTTATATGTTAGGTTAAAGATTCTCTTGATTGTTTTTGGTAAAAATAGTTTTGCTGACTTGACTATGATTGTTGCGCCTCACTGACCATTGATCTTTATGCTACCATAGATATTATGAAGTGTCAAGATTTTATTACTCTAGGATCTATGAATTGTTTATTTATGGATAGCTTCAAACCATTCTCATTCAGTTGGTATAATTTTTTTGTTGTTTGATTTAATTCTGTTAGCATCCGTGCAATGTACTTAGTTTTTGCTTGACTGAGATTTCTGTTGTGTTATCATTATATTTCTTGGATTCACCTTGTTTAGTGGTCTATTGCTACAAAACAATCATGATTGTATCTTATTCATTTTTTGCAAGTTATAGTCAATCTTTAATTTTGCTGATAAAAAAAACTGTTAGCATATCGGGCATTAATATAAAAAATTGTCTCACTCATTTTTTTAGCACGGATGGAGATCAAATTAAATTGTTTACGTGAATTAAGGGTTTCAATAGTGCAGTGCCAGGTTTCCTTGCAAAGATGTTCTCATTTGCTTGTCCTACTACTACATTTATATATATGTCTCATTGTTCATCTAAAACAAAACACTGGTCTTGGTTTTCTTTTCTACTTATAAAAAGAAACTTTTATTATAGCCAAACAAACCAACAGACTTAAAGAGCAAAACGAGGAGCAGCAAAATATTTGATATGTTGAATAATTTCATGAAAGTGCTAATATTTCATAATAGTGGATAAATATGTGAGGGAAATATCTTCTTGAGATCTACCGAAGATGTAAAATGGAATCCACTTCCTTGGATAAAATTTAAATGGATCTTTGTTGATGGTAATAGATTATCTCTTGGCCTTAGGATATGATAGTAATCGAGTAAAGTTGAAGGAGAATGCAAGTGAGAGAGAAAATATTAATAAAAGAGGCTAGAATAATAAATATCTGCTATTCTGTTAATGTTTCTCTAATGAGTTTCAGTCCAAGCCCAAAAGGAGCTGCCTCGTTCCTAAACGATTTGTATTTGTGAGCTGTATAGGATACAGAAAATTAGGAAGAAGTTAAGCAACCACTCGAAAGTTCCAAAATAAGCCAAGAAGTAGCTTACTTTCTTTCATGAACCTTGCAATGAAGGCCACTTCTGTCTTGCTGCAAGTTTTCTTTTTCATTTGTTCTTTGACAAGTAACGCTAGACTTGTGTACTGTTTGTTTTAGTAGTCAATGAATATTTTGAGAACATTTTTCCAGGTGTATTGCAGTCTGAAATCTAGATGCTGCTGATGTTAACGTCAGGAAAGTTTACCAGATTGAATTTAATCTCACTATTAATTTTTCTTTGGCATTTAAACTAAAGAATTATATATAAGCTAGAAGATGTTTGCCATATGGACCAGGATGGGATTTTTCCACCTGTATTTGGAAGAGGCAACATTGATTAAACACTGAAAGTTACTTGTTCCTGTAGGAGGTGACTAGGAAGCGCAGAATTTGTCATGTTGAAGTGTTTTCCAATTTTTAGGATTTTGGTTTTTCTTGTTTTCCTTCTTGGTAGAATGCATGTAGGATTTTCTTCCACAAGCAAACTTGCTATTGTTTAGTGTAAATAAAATGAGTTTTTTTATAACTGTTTGTGTTCTTTTTATTATGATTTCAGCTATGATTATAGTTGCTGATTAAACATCTTTCTTTCCTCGGTGGAAAAGTAGCTAAATGCTTGATTGTTGTGAGTTTGATTTTTAGGCGAAAATCAATGGGATTAAGAACTTCCTTCCATTTCTGTTTCTCTTGAAGCTCAAGTTTTCATTGTACATTTGTTTATGCAATTTCTTACATTTGATTAGGCCAGGAGTGTCTGTTTCCTGGTTTATGCTGTTAAATATTAAAGAGACTCTTATAGGTGATTTTAAAGATTTTCAAATTCATGTTTTAAAACCTGCAGAGTAGTTTGTAACAAAAGGTACTCTCGTCTTTTTTGGGATCCCACATTGAAAGGAAAAAGGTGGGCATGTGGGTTATAAAGGCTTGGGCACCCTCCCTTGGCAAGCCGGTTTTCCAAGGAGAGTTATACCCAAGCCCATGAAAGACCCATGGCTCAGCCCAAATTGTTGAGTTATTGGAGTGGGTTCCTATCAATTGGTATCAGAGCATGATCTTGTGCCTATGTGGCAGCGCACGCGTGGCAGGCTGCTCGTGGCAGGCTGACCTTGGGCCCGGACTGCTACCACGGAGAAAGTGCATGGAGGCCCAGGGAAAAAGGGGATCCCGTAGTCACCCAAGGGGTAAGAGCCGACGGGGGTAAAGAGGCCGACGTGGACTCGGTTCGGAGCGTGGTGGAATGTTGGATCCCACATTGAAAGGAAAAAGGTGGGCATGTGGTTTATAAAGGCTTGGGCACCCTCCCTTGGCAAGCCGGTTTTCCAAGGAGAGTTCTACCCAAGCCCATGAAAGACTCATGGCTCAGCCCAATTGTTGAGTTATTGGAGTGGGTTCCTATCACTTTCTAGTTCAAAATATGTAGAATAATGATGGCTTTTGATATTAACGTTATGATAATTTTTTTCTCATGCAATCCACTTATTGTTTAGTTGCATTAATTCTATGTTTATTTTGGTTTTCTTCTGTTCATTGACCTTGAGCTTGATATTTGAGCACCTTTTTGGCAGTAAGCTAAGGACTATTGATATTGACCATTGAGATCAGACCTGGTTGGAAGAAGGGAACAAAATAACATTCGAGGAGAAGGTAACCAGGAACCTGGTCTTATTCCAGCAGATCTTATTTTTGTTGTAGATGAGAAGCCACATGATCTTTACAAAAGGAGGGTAATGACTTGGTAGTAAACCAGAGATAACACTGCTGGAGGCCCTCACAGTAAGACCCTTGCCCTGACTACCCTGTGGAAGGAATATTATGATCCCCTGACAGATATTACAAACCGGGTGCTGAAGTAGTTGTCCCAAATGAAGGATGCCAATTTCTAAAGAACCTGGGAAAAAGGTAATTGAGATCAAGATCAGTGTCAAGTATCCTTCAATGCTCACATCAGGCAGAAATCTGAGCTAAGAAGGGTTCTTGGAGGAGTTTCATAGTTTAATCATTTCAAATGGACAACTAAATTAGCATTGGAGTATCTTGATCTTAGATGTAAATAATAGTATGCGGTCGTAGAAGTGAATGCTAGGCAGGTTTTGGTGTGGTATGGTATAGCTAAGAGCTGAGTTTCAGTCTATGGAAGGAATAGGTAGGTAAATTCTACCTAAGCTTCTGTCATTTTTTTCCTTACAATAATTTACCGTGATTTGGATGCTGGTATACTATACATTTAGAAAGATTGTTCTTGGATTTGAACTGACAGTGGAGTGACCTGGTGAATTTTTTACCATGAGAAATATCATATTTCATTTTTTGGTTTTTTTTTTTTTTTTTTGAAAGATTCTAGGCAAGTGTTCGTTCTCTAATTTGTGTAAAACATTAAATTGAGTTGCCAAGTTTTTTTTTGTAAGAAATCATGTTCCTGTCCTAAATGTTTTCATTCAGAAGATCATCTTCACTATTCGTGCCCTGAATAAAAGGCAACAACTTTCAGTGG